GGGTCTGCTTCTCCCTCTGACCCTCCTCCCTCTCATGCTCTCTGTCTCTCATTCTCTCTCTCGCAAATAAATAAATAAAATAAAAAAAAAAAAATACTCGACAGGATTGAAAAAAACTCATCTGTGGGTGCGACATAGTCTGTGGTCTATCTAGTTTCCAATGTCTGGTTTCAAAAGAGCAGAAAGCAGGATCATTCCTTGATTCTGTCATGTGCTCAAGTTTGCCCTCCTCCTCAAATCTCCTAAATAAAACACCTAATAATGGCTTTGAAAGGACAACTGTGCTTGGGATCCCCAGTCCTACAAAGGGTTTTTTTTTTTTTTTTTCCTGGACAGCCTAGTTGCATGAAGGTGTCCAATGTGGGCAAAGAACATGGGATCAGGGGTCCACAGACCCAGCTTCTAGTCCCCTTGCTGCCACCAACTTGCTGTTTCCCTTGGCAAATCTCTTAGCCAGAGCCTGGATGAGGGTGAGGGACATGGGGTACCCAGGTGCAAAATGTTATTTGGCCCGGGCTTCACTCTTACCTGTTCTCAATCTCTCTGTGCCTTCTCTCAAAGTAAGAGGTCATCCCAGAAACTAAGGTCCTTACAGGCCCAGCCTGTAATAATGTCACTGAATTTCCAAAATTGGCAAGTGACATAAATGGAGGTAGACCTTCAAAACAACACACGCTGGTTATCTGCAGATGTGTTGGACCTGCATGCAATTTAGCTGGTACCAGTGATTTATCAAGGGCAGGCTCCTCACTGGGATATGTGAGCATTTTCAGGCTATGCTCCTGACATCTTTCGTTTGGCATTTTTGGCAGCATTATCTACTGAACTTCTGATTTGCTACATGTTGTCAGGAGACAGTGTCTGAAAATCTTTTTTCCTTTCCCACAGTACTACTGAAAAAAAATTATTTTATTAGCTAGGTTTTCTCATTTTTGTTTCATTTGTCCACACCCTTAATTTTTTTTTCATTAAACATATTTCTGACCCAGGACAGCATGTTGGGCAGGGAGGTGCCTGGTATAACTGGCAAAATGCCTGGCTGTCCTCAACCTCACTGGCCAGGAAACCAGCTCAGAACACCATGACGAATGATTCCTGACCACATAGGGTCAGAATTGCAGTCTTGGCATATTCAACTGCAGTATAAACCCAACTTGGAGGAAACCGAGTATGTGAATCACCAAATGTATAGAACAGGTGGAAATGAAAGGCCAGTGATTTGGGCAACAGAAGGCTGTCTGAGTCATAGCAACTCTCAGTTAAGAACCTTAAGGCCATACAGAAAGCTGGGGCTAGATCGTGGGAAGGTCTGAAGAATGGAGCCCCAAACCACTGAGTGACAAAGTCAACTGGTGATGTCCAGAAGCGAGAATAAATCGTCTCTGGGACTAAGAATGTAACTCAATGAAAAAGCAGGACTATTTTCTTTCCCTGGCAAGTCTGATTTACCTTCAACTTTGGGGACCCACTAACTGGGTAAAGGAAATGACAATTTCAGAAGCATGTGGGAGACTCCAACGTGATCCTGGGCAGGACTGTGAATCACCGCTAGCTCGCCTAGCCCAGCTCTCGGAGGCCGGTTCATACCACTCTGTGGCACCTGTTGGCCACGCTTCCAGGGAACCAATGCCACAAGAGCCTTGGCAATTACAGATCTGGAAAGCTGCTTGGTAGAACGGTTAATCACACAGGCTCTGCTGCTTACTAGTTAAGCAGCTACTTGCCTTCTTTCAGATAGGTCTTGTGCAGAAGGAGGGCTGTGAGGATGCAGAGGGAGAAGGTATGTAGGAGCACCACATCCACTGTCAGGCACGGGTAACTGAACAACGGAGGCTACAAAGGCTGTATCCTCTGCGCCATGATTCTTCCCCTATGGTGGCACCGGGGCCTTGCGAAGTTTCACCCGCACTATGCTTTTTCTCTTAGTCCCTTTTCTGGTTACCTGGGAAGGGGAGGAGGGTGGTGGCTCTTTTCCTTTGTTCACCATATTTTGTGCTAGACATCCCCCACTGGGCAGGAGCCAAAAATGAGGATGAAGTGAGCAGATGTCATAGCCTTTTCCAGCCCAGTACCCATTCCTCTCTCTTTACCGCTTTACCCCTTCCTGGTTCTCGAAGGCTCCCGTCCTCAATTCCCATTGTGTGTCCTGTGGGACCAACCTCAGCCTGGATGGGAAGAAGTTTTACAGCAGTTCCAGCCACAGAAAAAAATGGAACAACAGGGGGCTCCCATGTGAAATATTTCCACTAGTAGTTGACACCCACAAACTTTCCTTAAGTTAATTTTGAGAGAGCTTTCCATGGGGGTAATCGTGAGTCTTTCCTTGTTTTTTATCTCATCTGCCTAATGTCAGGGAGAAAACACACCTGTAATACTCTATTTTGTCTTCTTTAATTTGCAGACTTTAAAGCTTTAGATACTTAAAGACGACCTTTCTGGGGATAGTGTGTTTTGAACCTCTCTCTCTCAGGGACTTACTAAGTTAATATATAATGTCTTCACTTAGTTCCTATTTATTATTTCATTGTCAAGATTCTTTACGGTGCCTAAGTTGTGATTACAGAGAATTGTGATAAAATGTCAATGTGCAGATGAGATTTGGAAGGTCTGGGGGTGGGGAGGGGAGATTCTTTAAATGGAGATGTCAGCTCCAGCCAATTTCAGAATGGCTCACCATTAAGATAGATGGTTCCAAAGCCGTGTGCCTCTGCTGGAAATTAAAAACCCATGGAATAAATGATTATGATTAATTTTAAGTACTTAGCCATGTGAAGCCAAATGAGAGTGTCTTTAAAACAAAGCTATTGATCTGGCTTTGTTTGGAATTGAGAAGATAAACTAATCAGATCCTGTGGTCTCTTTGTAATAATAGGGAATGAGAACTACTTTCTCCCCCCACCCGCCACCATAGGCTTTTAAGATTCAAGTTTGAGAAACTTGGTGTACCAACATGCTATATAACATACCAACATTTTAAAATTAGCAAACACTGGGGTAGAGAAGAGCAGTCCAGTTCTGTCCCAAACAGGGGTTTGATGGGGATGAGGGCATGATGGGGAGAAAGTGAGGGGAATGGAAGGGACAGAAGCCAGTTCTTCTTAAAGTTGAGGGAACAGACTCAGAGAGGTTGCATTGCTTGGCCCAAGTCCCACTGTGCCCAGGTGTGTCTGACTGTACGGCCCCATCCCCTCCCTCAGACAGCCTTCCTCGTGAGGCGAGGCACCACCACTCCCAGTACAGAGAGCTAACGTGCGGGCTGTCCAGTTGTCACAGCTGTTTTGTGGCAGCTGGTGATTTCCATTTCCTGGTCTCTTCCCAAGGAGTTTTCTCATCCTCCTGAAGAAAAGGGTGACATGCTCCCAGCAGCCCTTCTCCAGAAAGGCTTTTTTGCAGGCTGGGAAAATTGCGCCTACCCTTCTCAGCCCCAGTCTCCTGATCAGGGAAGTCCTAGGTCACTAAATTGGGCTGGTATCCTTTCCCTAGCAGACGTGCATTTGTTGACGGTTCTGGGGTCAGAGTTTGGGTGAGGAGCCACCATCCATCTTAGGATTGACAACCTGACCTCCCTGGCTGTGGGTCCTGCCGCTTCTGTCCCGGGAATTCGCGGCTTTCATCAGATTTCCGGCACCTTGCAGCATCAGCATCCCCTTTTATTTCCCGTGATTCCTCTTGGAATCACCTTCCTCTCGTACAACGTGGAGAGGCTTTCTCCAAGCCGTGTCCACTGGCTGCAGGGCCAGGTGAAAAGGAAGGTGGGAGGAGGACCTTCCTTCATGTAGAAAGGGACATTTTTATATATTCATTCATTCATTTCTGTGACATTTATTCATTCCTTTGGAAGTCAGAGGTATGTAACCTGGTGACTAGGTAGTTTTTTTTTTTTTAATTTTTTAATTTTTTTTTATTTTCAGGGGTATGCTCAACAAATTCTACCCTATCATACACTGGATAGAACTGTACCATCAGAATTATTTTTAGAACCAAGCAATTACAGAATTTGGAAAGGGGAAGCCAGCCCCAAGGTATAGCAACAAATCCTTCCTTTTCCAAATGGGAAAACTGAGACTCTGAGTGCGGAAGGGACTTGCCCAAGGTCACACAGCCAATTAGGGGCTGAGTCGGGACTGAACCACACATCTCCTGACACAAGTTCTACTAGGCTTTATTGCTTTCCTTTCTAGGTTTCACAAATCAGGGATAGCTGGAAGTGTCGCTTTGGGTGACATTCAATCGAAATGTTTTCTTACACAATTCTACTTTAGTTTGAATGACCCCAAGATGATTCCTAGCTGAATTCCAGCCCCCAACCCACACCTGGAAAACTGGAAATCAGGTTAGACCCATGGGAAAAATCCAGAACACAGAAAAGCAGATCCACAAGGTATAAGGGGTGGGATTCCACCTCCTCTCATCTTTCTCTCACCCTGCCACTTTAAGGTTACTGCTTAAAGTTTGCATTTAAACCTAAGGCGACATCCCAGGAGCAATGGCAATGACTAGACTTTACCAGGCTGTTTGGCAGCGCAGCCCCCCCGCCCCCGCCCTGTGCCAGGTCCCTTTGTGATTCTGGGTGATATCAACTGACCCCTTGGTGCTATCCCCTCTCTCATCTCCCAGACCTGTAACCTGTCTCTTCCCATGCCCACACTCAAACAGACTCTCCCTGAACGCTCTGCCTGGCGCTGGGGGGCTATTCCAGCCCATCTGTTCCACCCAGCAACAAATACCACGGGAGCACCGGGAGAGAAAGGACTCGATTGAGACTTAATTAGCAGGAACCCCAGTTTGTGGGAGGTGAGAAATCACACTTTGCTGCCTGCAAACACTTTGGCCAAGGTGAGCCAGAGGGATCTCCCGGTTCCCAATTTTAATAGCACTGCAGCAGAAGACACAGAAATGCAATCCACACGGACCCCCTGCACACACACTCCCCTTTCTCTCCTCCTCACAGGGACACACACACACATGCACATAAGGCAGCGGTCGCAAAATCAACTCACAGGATCTCCAAATCGCGCAGCGCTCGGAAGGCTCCATCTTCAATGCAGCTGATGTGGTTGTTGTCCAGTTGCCTGTGGAAAAGCAAGGGGAGGGCATGAAGGCTGAGCGGGGGCAGCGCCGAGGAGCCGGGCGGCCCGGGCCACCCGAGCGCCTGTCCCTCCACCCCTGGCAGGCTCTGCTCGTCCCCGCCAGGAGCTCGCGCAGAGCCAGCCTGTCTGCCACGCTGCTCCGTCCCTGCTCTCTGTCTGGGAGAGCTACACAGACGAGCGCACCAAAGGCTGTCAGGTCTCAGTAAATATTAATTGCGCATTTTTTTTTTTTTTTTTTTTTAGGCAGAAGGGAGTAATTTCATTACATTAGGGCATCCAATCCATTACGAGCTCTTACCGTCATGTCACTGAAACAATTTCATTAAGCTAAAGGCCTGTAAATCATTGGAGGTCACTGCTCTGCCCTCCGCGACCTCCCAGAATGCTTTTTTCCCTCTCTCCCTCTCCCTTGTCTCCCTTTACTGGAAGTTGCAGTCTTCTGCTCTGACACAGTGCTAAATCTCAAGGCTTTATCTGCCCAAGAGCAGCGAGGGTGCATGGGGAATATACCAATTCCAAATTAGACTCAAGTAATCTAATTTTATAGTCTTTTTATTATTCTAAGCACCAAATGTCTGTGGTGGTTTGATGCCTCCGTGCTTTGTTATGGGGCCCATCTGGTAGGTCATTCTATCGAAGCATTTTCTGACTAACTACAGAGCCCCTCAAACTGCACCAACCACCATCAACATTAAAGAAATCCATTGATGGAAGCATTCCTGATGGGGGAAGAAAAGGAATATTGTTATTGCCTTAAAGATGTACCACTTAAATTTAAATTGGGGAGAATTAAATGCACCTCTTTCAGGACTCCTTTTTTATTTCCCTTTCCATCTTATGAGCATGAAAATAATGTCTTTTAAAAGGATGCCTTGACTAATATACATTCTAGTTGGGGATTGAGGTATTTTAGTTGAAGGATAATAAATATATACCATTATCCCTAAATCAAAATAGGTCTGATGTGTAAGTCATGACCATACTGCAACTCAAATCTCACATTATATATCAGTCATTTGATTTCTAAAATAAAAGATGGTATACAGAAAATGTTTATTAGTACCAGATTGTCTATTGTATTTTGTGTGCAGAATACACCACGGTCTTTGGGGCAAATGGCCGAAAGAAGTATGGCTGTACTGAAAAACTCCCTTATCTACTTCTTTGTTTTTTCTTTTGTCTCAGAAAAAAATCAGCCCCTCTCAGGTGAAGGGATTTTCTGATGCTGGAATTTTCATGTGACTTGTACTAATCTATCCCAACAACTCTGTGCAAAAGATGTGTCGATGATATGTTCAGTAACCCTCACGGAGGGTTTTATATTCTGCTGCAGGAAGGCGGAATTAAAATTAAAATACTATTATCATCGAGAAACCAGATAGATATAAGATTTCTGTAAACGCAGATGAGTGAGACACGTACAATTAGACTGATGTGTCACAACCGATGGGCTCTGCCACGATATTACGGGGAACTGAATCACTCAATAAATGCTCCTGATACAAGATTTAGACATTTAGGGTTTAAAAATAAGCGGCCAATGGGTATCTCAAGAAGCAGAAGCACTCTTTAGGTCGACAACTTCTACATCTAGCGTTCAAAGTTCTTGCTGATGCCCAGTCCGGTGAAATCTCAGTGTTCTCGCTACCCGGAATACTTCCGGAGTCTTTCTTAACATGAGTTTGCTGAACGTCCTTTCCCAAGATTTCCTGTAAGTACTGGGGCCGCTGATTCCCCGCAAAGGTTCTATTAAGGCAGTCTAGTCCTGCTGCCCAGTTTCTAGATTTATTATCAGTTTAAGGGCTGATGAATCAACAACCCCCGCCCCACACCAAGGCCACCAAACCTTACCAAGCAGAAATGCAATGGAGTTGGCTTTTGGCTCCAAGAAATTGTTCAATAAATATGCTGAATTCAGCAAAAATGGCCCCATCCACCTAAGTAGAAAAGTATCTAAATCATCAGACTGAGACGAGGGGTAGGGTGTAGCGATGGCAGTTTGTGGTGCATCTGCTTTTGGGCAGACATTTCAGCAAAGTCCTTGCTATTAGAATATTATTTATTTGCTGGAATTTGTGAGATGCTTTTTGTTCCTTTTCTTTTCGAGCATGAGAAACCAAACAGGACACTCTAAATGTACAGAATGTTATATGGAAAGAATGCAATTTGCAGGGGAGAAGAGAAATTCACGGAAAGAAGGGAAAGAATGAAGTGGTAGAAGAGATTAAAAGGGCAGGGGAAAGGAGATGTGCAAAAGATGAAAAACCAAGTCCACTGTTCAACGTTCCATAGGAGTCCTGCCTGGGGATACTGGAGCGGTGGGACAGAGTCTTAGGGAGGGACATGGTCACTATAAGGCTAAAAGCAGGGAGGTCTCCTGCGTGATCAGTTCTGTGATGTTTAAACAGGCTCACTGGGCACCACAAGCTAACACCTAGTTGTTTATTAGTAATGGGGAACACTGAGCTGTAATAGAAGCATCTCTGTGGGTGTATTTTTATAGACTCTTTTAGAATATATGAAATGTATCAAAATTTCAAATATTTATGCAGAAGTGTGGTATACATTTATTATAACCAGGATTGTCTCCTTTTACTCTACCCACAGATAAACAGTACCCCAGCCTTTGTCGTCAGTCATTTCCCATACGCATTGTTCATCAGGGAAGTCTTCGGGCGGTACAAGGCCTAGGAGGATCGTGTCAAGCAAATGAAAACCTGAGAATTACTTCACTGCCCAGCTATTAATATCTTCATGGCACTGAGCATCAGAGTGTTCGTAAAAGGTCATTAATTGTCTGCAATCTATCCTGATATTTCATGCAAATAAGCCAGGCCCCTAAAGCAAAGTAAATACATACTTGCCTCAGACAAGGTTTCTTTTTCTTTCAAAATTACATCTCAGATACACAAAAGTTAGTCCCCAAGCACGGGGTGGGGGATGCAAAATACATGCCAGCCCAGCATTCCTTTGCAGGTGTTAGGAGTGGAGCACTACTAAATACACAGAGAACCTTCTGGAGCTAAGGCCAAAGCCTTTGACTTAGCAGTTTGCTTCTGGGGGTTGATGGAGGCCGCTGAACTGTGTTCTAAGCTCTCGAGTCAAAGATCCATTTTGCAGCTTTGAAAGGACTCTTTCAAAGACCCTCTCAAAAACAAATCAAAAAGCCCATTGCTCACTCCACACTCCATTACTCAGGAGGCATGTATGTGCAAAAGGAACTCTGGATATGGGAGCACAAAGAACTCAGCAGTCTTAGAATGCCTGATCTTTCTATTTGTCCATGGCAGTGAGAGGTGTATTTCACACTGCTACTGAATCCATTTTTACCACACAAAATGACCTGCCCTGGTGCCTCGCACAGTGCCAGGGACTTCCCAGCTGGCCATGCATGGTTGCAGAGTGAGTCCTCCTGAAGGTCCGGCAGGGCTGGGTTCAAACTACCCGGCAGAAGGCTCTAAGCCATGAGCTATGCTGTCCCGGCCGTGGTCCTATGTGATGGAGCATTCCCTCTCTGACTACATGGGGAGCTTTCTGCCACACAGACCTCCACTGGGGGAGTATTTGGAGAGGATGCTTGGAATAACGTGAGATTTCTGTGGTGAAGATGAGGGGCAGGAAGGCAGTGGATGGAGGGAAGTTTGGCTGTTTTTTGGAGGCAACTTTCACTGTCATCTACTTTATACAGAAAACTCAATTTGATTTACACTCTCCTGCCTGTGACTAAGCCTGGAAGCCCCCAAACATTCATGATATTAAATTAACTGCTCTAATTTCCCTGGGAAGCTCAGATTTCACCAAACAATGTGCGCTAAAATGATACCAGAGTCTATTTAGAAAGGACTCCTCCGACAAGAACTAAATGCAGACTCCCTGAGAGGAGCTCCCTGACTACTGTATTTTTATACTCTGAGAATATAAACAAGTCAGAAAGGAAAGCCAGCGTGAGTGAGGACTTAAAATAATCTTCACCAAAGGCAGACAGGGAGATAGTGCTTTTGTAAGAATTCCCATCCGTAAGCATAATATTATCGCAATTCATCTCCTTCAATCACAATTTCAAATTTCATAATTGAAGCAGGAAAGAAATATTTTGCAGTTCAGAAACTTAAAGAAGCATATCTAAATCCTTTTCAAAGAGCTGAAAAAATCTGATTACAATATTAAGAGCGACCTATTTCCTAACCACCGCCCCCCCCACAACAACAACAAAGGAAGAAAGAAAATGTCATGATTTCCACGATGCTTTTGAGTCCCCACGAGGAGAAAATACCTGAAAGATAGAAATCTCCAGAAACAGGTTTCTGGAAGAAAAGCAGAATTCCCAAGTAGTCGTCTAGATGCAGGGTCTATATACCGAGGCACAGCCACCCAGATGTGTATTTCTCATGCCGATGTTCTGGGGGACCCCAGCAACTCCGCCCTTGGTTGGTGAAACTTAGCCTAAGGGCACTGTCGCTCCAGGCCCGAAATCCAGCCCAGCGTGGGCTCCAGCACTGCAGCTAGAGGTACTGCAGTCCTCATGCTAAGTGGGAGAAGTAGCTAAGGCTCAGCGCTCTTTGGAATTTCCGAGCAAAACTATCTACACAAAATGCGCACAGTAAGGAGAAGGACTTCTGCATGAAATTCACAAGAGAAGCCCTAGTAGAAATTCAAGGCAAGCCTAAGGTCTCGGAATCCAACAATAAATTAACCTGTAAGAGCAACTGAGAGTTAGTAGATGTTCACACTGTATTAGGCACCTAGGATACAGAATGAAGTGTAAGACATCCTTTGAAATTTTTTGGAAGAAGCCGGTACCTGTGGTTTTTACATTTCAATTATCTTAAGAGATATACGAGAGTGGCGCCTGGGTCGCTTAAGCGTCTGCCTTCCGCTCAGGTCATGATCTCAGGGTCCTGGGATCGAGCCCCGCATCGGGCTCCCTGCTCAGCGGGAAGCCTGCTTCTCCCTCTCCCACTCCCCCTGCTTGTGTTCACTCT